CCCCAAAACCCCAAAACCCCAAAACCCCAAAACCCCAAAACCCCAAGTTAAATTTTTACTATGAATACCAATGGCTTCTAAGTCAGTTGAACAATTACGTTCTTAGGCCAGAAGAGACCCATGATGTTGGATGGTACTTCGTATGCCCATTCTGAATGTTTCTCCTGGTCGGACTCCAAACTCACCGTGAAACCTTGCCTTTATGTGCCATCTGGGATCCAACTCTACCTGGATTGCACCGATTTTGGATGAAATTATTATACTTCGTGTTCGTAAATTTTCTTCTTTTACTTTTTGCCCTGAACTGATACAATTTGGGAGTTCATCTAATAGGAGTGGTGAGGTCTCTTTGGCTGATCTCTATAGTATCCTTTGGCTTCTAAATGAGATTACAGCCTTTATTTACCCTGAGAGACATCTTAGAGTTGTTATCACAATCAGAGACTTCCAGGCTATCCTTTGAATAATCATTCTTTAAGCTCAGCAAGTCTGATTTGGAGTTATCTTTCTCCACTGAATTATTGTCATGATTTGAAAACATTCTGACAATCCTGTAGGAGATAATATTTTTATTATCGTTAGTCAGAGGTAACTCCTTTGTAACTCTAGTGAAGTCACCAAGCCCTTTGAAGGGCTTGTCAAGTTCATTCCCGATGTTTGCAGGAATTTCTACTCTTGGTGAGTTCAAAGGCCTTGTTTTAGAGAAATCTGTCATAAATACTAGATAAAAGTTAGTTCATGACTGTAATTAGTTTTTCAAGTGTGATTGTTTGTACTAGAGACTTACAGTTTGGAGAAATTGACCGAAATCTCTTTGTATTGTCTCTTTCTCGTCTATGAATCTGTATTTTCTCCTTCAGATTTTTGAGGTAACCTAAAATATTTGAAATTCTGGTGTAGATCGATTCTTGTGAAGAAATTTTAAGTCTTCGAAAGGAAGGATGAATGAATTTTAGAGAAACTGTGATTAATCACTTACTCCTTTCGTGCTTCTCAGTAATCTTAAGTTTCTCTTTCTTTCAGTTTCTCTATAGGGAAAGTACTGTTAAATGAGAATTCAGGTTTAGCTACCAATTATCAGGAGGCAAACAGTTGAACTCATAAGGTTCTAGCTCGGAAACTCTAAAGTCTTCAAGATGCAGAATGTTGCTCTATAAGCTTGTAGCCTCTATTGGCCAACTAGCCTTCCAGTTTTATTATAAACTTATAAAAGACTACAGTTTATAAAAGTTTACACCTTTTTTAAAATTCATAAACTAAATAAACTCTTATAGCTATGAACTTACAAAATGGGAGCTTAGATAAAAGTTTACTGGCCGAGCATTGAAACTGAGTAGTGTTATCCTTCAGAATTTGCCTCCGCTACAACTCTAGATTTCCTTTGACCTTAACTAGAGTTAAGAGACTTGGGATCTCAACTATACATGCCATGGAACATTTGGATAACTTGCTTGATTACAATTAACTAGCAATGCTTCAGGGACTTTATTGATGAGAAGACGCAGATTTAAGCAATATTTTATCAAATTCTTTGCAAGTTTAGTATTTGTAACACAAGATCTTACAAAATTACAAACTTTTGGATTTATGTAAAAGGGAAAGCTCATTCCTAGGGTATAAATTACTTGAGCAATGCAAGGTCAAAGATACAAAAGTGAACTACTAAGTTCCAGTATTTCCAACCCCTGCTAGATCCTATTGCAATTCAACCCCTCTTCAAGTTATTTGGGATGAGTCCCAGAAGCACCACCAAGTGGTTAATTTATGTACCTTTAGGGCACTTGAACTGAGAATATTGGCCATCTTTGAGCTATTCCTTGAGACTATACTTGACATATTCCTAAAGAAGATTTAAAAGGTATATATACGGCTTAATCCTCTCTTTGCTCTAAAGATTAATAGGAAAGCCATACATTTCCTCTCTTCTGAAGCCAAGCCAGGATATCTTTCTTGTTGAGCCGGGCATTGGGTCTGATACACCTTCTAGTTCTGCTGACAGTCCTCATTTATGGAATGGTACTATTTTATAATCACAATATGAACTAGGCTTTTTGGGGTTTTGGGGTTTTGGGGTTTTGGGGTTTTGGGGTTTTGGGGTTTTGGGG